TTTTACTGTAGCCGCTAGAGGGCGCTCTCTACTCGACCTGTAGTGTATTAAAATGACCGAAAATTTTTTCTTAGTGTAATTTTTTATTTTTTGAATAAAGAAACAGATTCTTCGCACTTTTCAACATAAAAAAGCTCTCTGTGAATTTTCGTTACAGTTAGCCGTTTTTGAGATATTTCGATTTTTAAGGTTCGATGCATTTTTAATTATTTATGATAAAATGACGTTAAAAAGTCAGTATCTCGATAATTTTTAGAAGTAGGCTGTGCCTGCAAATATTTTTGAAATTGAAAGCAGAATAAGGTTAAACGTCAATTAGTTGACAGTTAGTTTTGTTGTCTGTTGAAACCTGAAACATTTTTTTGCAATTGTGAATGCACGAAATTTAGTTTCTTTTACCTCTTTTTTTTGTAAGTTTTACAAAAATGCCATTTTTATTCTCCAATCAAGAGTTAGCGGATATTCAGCAGCAGAAGCAGCCAGAGAATACGCACGAAGATTTCCAAACAGACGACATCCAACTCGCTCAGTATTTGTAAGAGTGCATCGCCAAATAATTGAAAATGGTTTTGGAAATTTCCAAAGGGATCAAAACATAAATGTTCGTCAGCGCAGATTTACCCGTATGATTCTGCGTGAGTTTGATGGAGATCCGACCACAAGGGTTAGGAGAGTTTCTGGTGCCTTGGGAATTTCAGCAAGCCATGTTCACCCTGTTCTTAGAAATGACCATGACGTCCTTACCATTTGCAACCTGTGCAAGGACTACAGCCAGGGGGCGGAGAACGAAGAATCACATTTTGTCAGTGGATTCTTGATAGAACTGATAATAATAGGGAGTTTTTAAGTAACGTTTTATGGACCGATGAGTCATGCTTCACTAGACGTGGAGTGGTAAATTTTCATAATCAACATATTTGGTCGCATGAAAATCCGCGTGCAGTTCGGGAAAGAAATTTTCAGCTTGAATTTAGTGTGAACGTGTGGATTTGTATCTACCGTACTCGACTATTTGGACCCTACCTTTTGCCTGCAAGGTTAAATGCTGCGACCTTCTTGGAATTTTTAAAGGCTGAACATGCAAATATGTGGGATGATGTTATGTTAGATTTAAGAATATTGGCCTGGTTCCAGCTTGATGGTTGTCCAGCTCATTATTCGAGAATAGTTAGAAACTGGCTGGACGAAAATTATCCAGAAAGATGGATCGGCCGTGGAGGACCAGTCGCCTGGCCTCCACGATCCCCTGACCTAAATCCATTAGATTTCTTTGTGTGGGGATTTTTAAAAGAAAAAGTGTACCAGACTCCCGTAACCACAAGAGATATACTAATAGACAGAATCAGGAATGCATGTGATGAAATAAGGCCTTATTTGAATAATGCTATACCACGTTCGATCATTCGTAGATGTGAATTGTGTATTGAACAATTGAGTTTACATTTCGAGCACTTACTTTAGATTTTGTATGTTTGTCCTAACTATCCAATAGCATTTTATTTGTAAATAATTAATTTAATTTGTTAAAAATAATGTTGGAAAATTAAACAAATTAATATTCTGTTTTTTTGTGTTTATTTGGAGTTAGGAATTACTGCTGTGTTTAAAAACACAATCTAAACGATCATCTTAATTACTTGTAATGCCTAAATCGAAATTGTAAGAAAAATATTATTTTCCCATAAATAATTAAAAATGCATCGAACCCTAAAAATCGAAATACCTCAAAAACGGCTAACTATAACGAAAATTCACAGGAGAGCTTTTTTATGTTGAAAAGTGCGAAGAATCAGTTTTTTTATTCAAAAAGCAAAAAATTGCACTAAGAAAAAATGTTCGGTCATTTTAATACACTACAGGTACAGTAGAGAGCGCCCTCTAGCGGCTACAGTAAAACTATGCCCATGGTTCGTCCGTCGTACCAAAAAACCCTTGTATAACAATTTTCACTGTTATACATCAAATATTGTTCGAAATATTTGAAAAAAACTATTTTAGAAAGTAAATTTAAGCACCCTGTATTTCAGAAGCCACGCATTTTTCGACCCATGTTTATATAGGCTTTATGCATTAATTTTAAAAGTTCTATCGAATCCTAAAGTTATGCAACAATAAACTGAAACACCCTGTATATTTGGAAATATAGATTCTCGTACTCAAGTGGACGTCATTTATACTGATTTCTCAAAGGCCTTTGACCGAGTTTTAGCTGACTTGGGTGTCATTGGCCACCTCCTGCTTGTTAAATCGTATTCGTCAAATAGAGTATCTTTTGTTTCGCACAACGGCTTTATATCTAACACTTATAAAATTGCATCAGGTGCTCCCCAAGGGTTTGTTCTGGGACCCTTATTTTTCATTATTTTTATAAATGACATTGAACTACTATTGGATGTCACTTTTCTTTTATATGCGGATGACCTGAAGCTTCTCTGTCCCATTCAATCTCTAACTGACTGTGAAAAGTTACAGTATAACGTAAACATGCTCAACTGTCAGGAAAATAGTTTGCCATTGAATGTTGAGAAGTGCAATGTGGCCAGTTATACGCACAAGGCACAGTCGATCATATTTGGCTATGATATTGGTAGTGTGCCCCTTAATCGATTGCATGAAATAAAGGATTTAGGTGTCATTTTCAACAGTAAATATTGCTTCAACGGTCATATGGATTCAATTATTGCAGAGAGTTACAAAAAGCTGGGCTTCATCATACGCTGTGGTTGCGAGTTGCAGGATATTAAAACAATTAAGCTTCTACATAACTCACTTGTAAGATCGAAGCTTGAATATGCGACAATTATTTTGCTACCCTCCTACTGCTTCTGGATAGACAAACTCGAAAATATCCAACGGCGTTTTTTGAAGTACCTTTACTTTAAGGAAAATGGCATCTACCCACCGATTGGCTATCCACAAGAGTCTTTAGAAGAAGCTTTCGATTTGTGTTCATAAGTGCAGTGTTAAGTTCGTGACTGATATATTGCACAATCGTATTGATTGTTGCAATATATTGCATGATTTCAATTTCCTTGTCCCGCGTTTGAATGCTAGACAATTAAATACCTTCTATTTGCCTACCCCTAGAACAGATATTTTAAAGTTTTCTCCATTGTATAGCTCATGTGGTAAAGCGAATGACATTGCGCATCAATTAGATATATTTCTCTTATGTATGGTCTTCTGCGTGGTTCCTTATTATGTCTTATCTGCTATTTGCTATTTAATTTTTTATCTACACTGCCATTTTTGTAAATATTTGTATATAGTATCCTTGTGATTGAACTTCCTACATTTGTGTGTAATATGTAAGATATTGTGTATTTTTGATATTTGGACTTTGTCCTACTCTGTAATTGGCTTTGTAGCTGTTGGGTTGGGTATAAATAAATAAATAATAAATAAATAAATAAATAAATAAATAAATAAATAAATAAATAAATAAATAAATAAATAAATAAATAAATAAATAAATAAATAAATAAATAAATAAATAAATAAATAAATAAATAAATAAATAAATAAATAAATAAATAAATAAATAAATAAATAAATAAATAAATAAATAAATAAACAAATAAATAAATAAATAAAATTACAAATGATGAAGACCCATTGGTTTTGTAGCTACTATCTACATGTCTAATTTTAGACCGCCTTCTTTGTCGCTCTTGCAGTCTTTTCGTCTTTAAAACTCCAATTATGCAAAGAATTGCAAGGTGTGAGGATCATTTCAATAACGGATTTAACCATACCGACTCCTTTTAACATCAAGTACCTATTATAGAATAGAGATCTACGACAGCTTTGCTGACTTTATCCTTTCAAAGTAAACCTATTAACACCTTACATATACAGGGTGTCCGCAAAGTTGGGGTTTTCCTTTTCAGAAACAACTGCCCTTGAAATAACAAAGGTAATGTGTAATGAAACGAGGGCGACCAAGTAAAAAAAAATAAAGGAAAAAGTACTCGCTCTCCAGTTGACGAGAAGGGCTAAGTACGTCTCTGCCCGAAATCATACCGCTCCAACAGAAAATGAAATCAGCTGATGCGCTACCGAGCAGACGCAGGCAAACAAGGAAGGCAAAATGTTGCGTGAAAAGTCTAGGTCTAGGTTCACCATGCCAGCCCAAACATTCACCGAAAATGTTTGTTGAAAATGTGCCCGACGGACAGCGTGCGGATTTTCTACTGACCAAACATGAGTGTTGCGAAAGTTATTCACCCCATTACGCGTGAACGTAGATTCGTCTGTCACCAATATGCACTTCAAAAAGTCCGGATTATTGTCATGTTGATGCAACAACCACTCACAAAACCGCACTCTTGCTGGAAAATCGTCAGGTTGAAGGGCTTGTACACGTTGGACGTGAAACGGATACAGCCCCTCTTCACGCAGCGTTTGCCACACTATAGTTTTAGTTGCACTTCTCTAGCCACGTCTCTAGTGTTGAGGGATTCACGTCAACGCGATTATCTCTTCACGCGTGACCGTAACCGTCGGTTGAAGGTTGCATACTGACCTGACACACTGACCCAGACGGGTTGAGCTAGTGTCCTAGTACCACTGGGGGATGTCGCGGCTACAGGACGGTATTCAGATATTTTTGATGTTGCAGAGCCCTTTATCTCGGTTCCCTTAAGACATTGGTGTATATGGTACTAAGAAAAATTGCTTATGTTTTCAAGATCTACACGTCGTGTAAAGGAAAACCCCCTGTATTTGTTTCTTTCCTATTTGTTATGTCACTTCTCTCTACCTGTGCAAGTGTAACGCGTCTCCCTGACTGACCCGCGAGGCGTGAAGAAGTGTCCTCTGTTAAGTTCGTCAGCATCATACAAAGACTTTCTAATGGCAAAAAAAATCTTAGTTACCATAACGATATGCCGATGGTACGACAATGTCAGAGCTTATGAATCTACCTCAAGAAATGACTTTACTGCTCTAAGAGCTTTCTGTCTACATCCCGTATTTCTTTACATACCAATAAACAGTACTGTCAAGATGAATATGAGTATCTTGGCCCTCTTCTCGGACTTGTAAGAGCTGCCGTAGTGCTTCATTGCTTCATCCACTTTCACCCATGTCTTCATGTACCGTCTCCAGTGTCTTGCCATTGAGATAAAGTATATGCTGGACGCCAAGGCGCGTAGGAAGTATATAAATCTGTGTATATCCAGAATTTTCACTGGATAGATGAATAATCGTACTGCTTGGACTGAGGATATGAACGCCAGACCTAGAAAAAAAATGACGTCAAGTAGATTGGCTTTGCACTCCCCCCGCAACACTGTCATCAGGATTATTATTATTGTGTATAAGAAAAAAACGACTGCACAGTTATTATAAGCAGATTATATATAGGACTTTTATCATTTAATCTTCCTGTTGTTAACGGGATCTGAAGCTTCTTAATGATAGAATGTCTTTGACTAATATTACAGACGTTCATTCACAATCCCCTACCCCCTACAATCCCCATCGCCCATGCTTTAACCCCTTCTGAAACGTCTAAAAATGAAGTTTAAACGATTTTTATTTTTTCCGTGTTTTCGTCACTAGCTCCGCCACCACTACATCGATTTTCAAAAACTGTGAAGCTTTTTCATCATTAATATAGTAGTAAACTTGTATAAAAATTTCATCGAAATTCTACTGGTACTTCTCACGTTATAGACGATTATAGAATTAGCGAAGATAGACCGACAGAAATTAGTGGAAAAAAAACTACATGTACAAGTATATATATAACATAAAGAAAGAGCCAAACAGATGAGATATCTGGAGACGACATAAATCTCATGAGAATAATTCCCAAAGAATGGATGATTGTATACTAAGTGACATATAAATCCGAACAGTTTAAATGGTTTTATTTTAATAAAAGTTGGTGAATGTATTTATCTTACTGTAAATAACAAGTGAAAAAATTCACACATTCCGGTTTTTATACTGCTTTTTTTTTAATTCACTAACGCTCTAAAAATGAATATTTCAGCCCCAGTAAAGAATCAACGTTGGCGGATTTTGGTTCTTGACATCCTTTACGATCGGTTACGATGCCTAGAGTACGGAGACCTGTACGATTTCTTCAAATTAGTGAGTTTGATAGGGGCCGTATAGTGGGACTTCGGGAAGCTGGACTTTCTTTTCGGGCAATTGAAGTTAGAGTGCAAAGAAGTGTAGACACTGTGGTTAGGTGTTGTCAGGCATGGCTTCGAGGAGGCCGTACGCAAAGAGCAAGGGGCACTGGACGCCGCCGTAGAACAACAGACCGTGAAGATCGCCGCCTAAGATTATTGGCCTTAAGGGACCGTTACTCCACTACCAGGTCCATTGCAAATGAATGGTTTGCAGAACACGGAAGAGCTATTGGCATGCGAAGTGTTTACCGACGAATGAGAAGTTTTGGCTTGTTTTCATACCGGCCACACTGGGTCCTCCCTTTAACTCGAGAACACCGACGTAATCGCCTTGAGTGGTGCAGACAGCGGTCACTCTGGGATCAGGAATGGAACAGTATTGTCTTTAGTGACGAGTCTCGATTTTGTTTAGGCATGCACGATGGTCGTGCCAGGGTTAGAAGGCGACGCGGTTAAAGGAGGAATCCACAGTTTTTTGTTGAAAGACATGTTCATCACACTGTTGGAGTTATGGTTTGGAGTGCTATAGCTTATGGTTCCAGGTCACCTTTAATCTTCATCAGAGGTAACATGAACGCGCAGCGTTATATCCACGAAGTTCTAGAACCCCATCTTTTACCCTATCTTGATACCCTGGCAGATCCAACTTTCCAACAAGATAATACTCGACCACATGTTGCAAGAGTCACAATAGACTTCTTTCAACATAATGATGTCACATTGTTACCATGGCCACCAAGATCTCCCGACTTATCCCCAATTGAGCACGTGTGGGATATGATGGGTAGGAAGTTGCTCAATCTGCAACGTCCTCCTCAGACTCTAGAGGCACTTCGATAGGAGTTGGCGGTTGTCTGGAATGAGATACCACAGGAGGACATTGACCACGTGATCAGAAGTATGCCTAGGCGCGTTGGAGAATGCGTAGCACATCGGGTGTATCCACACATTATTAAAGGGCTTTAAAGCAGTGCAATCATTTTGAAATTTTTATCATTTACTTATTATGCTTCATTAAGTACTTATACAAAATTTTATTAGAAATAAAACCATTTAAACTGGGTGTTCGGATTTATATGTCACTTAGTATATATTTACTTACAGGGCACAAAAAAGGTATAACTTTAGCCATATCGGCTTAAAGAGGTTTTTTAATTCCCTGAAAATATTGAATATCTGACATTGGCTGTTTTTGAAAAAACCCTCCAATTGCGTATTTTATCCCAGAAATGATTAGCTACCTGTCAGAGTAAGCAACGAGTAGATAGTCCTAAAGCTGGTCCATGAAAATCTCAAAGCATCCACGTCTTCCCGGAAGTATCCACAGATCGGCAAATATCCAAAGACCTGTACCATCAATATATACAATTTGAACGTTCTTGGAACGGCTGTTTTCGGCTCATCAACAGCACTTCTAGGAGTTTGTTTTTTTACCATTTTGCTCTGGTGACGCCGACACTATGTAGATAAGCTTTGCCCGTTTTATGAAAGCATTTCATATAAGGGAATGTTTTTTTTGATCAATTAGATCTGTTTTTAAAACTATGGGTTGTTTACGTTTAGTCGGCCAGAGGGTGTGAGTAACATGCGATACGATTATACAAGGTCACTAGCAACTTTCTTTTACATATATCTGGAAATTCTTAACGTGTATTGCATTTAAATTCTGTACAACATATTATTCAACAAATTAATATACTAAGTGACATATAAATCCGAACACCCAGTTTAAATGGTTTTATTTTAATAAAACTTTGTATAAGTACTTAATGAAGCATAATAAGTAAATGATAAAAATTTCAAAATGACTGCACTGCTTTAAAGCCCTTTGACCTTTAATAATGTGTGGATGCACCCTGATGTGCAACGCATTCTCCAACGCGCCTAGGCATGCTTCTGATCAGGTGGTCAATGTCCTCCTGTGGTATCTCATTCCAGGCAACCACCAACTCCTCTCGAAGTGCTTCTAGAGTCTGAGGAGGACGTTGCAACTTGAGCAATCTCCTACCCATCATATCCCACACGTGCTCAATTGGGGATAAGTCGGGAGATCTTGGTGGCCATGGTAACAATGTGACATTATGTTGAAAGAAGTCTATTGTGACTCTTGCAACATGTGGTCGGGCATTATCTTGTTGGAAAGTTGGATCTGCCAGGGTGTCAAGATAGGGTGAAAGATGGGGTTCTAGAACTTCGTGGATACAACGCTGCGCGTTCATGTTACCTCTGATGAAGATTAAAGGTGACCTGGAACCATAAGCTATAGCACCCCAAGCCATAACTCCAACAGTGTGATGAACATGTCTTTCAACAAAAAACTGTGGATTCCTCCTTTCACCCCGTCGCCTCCTAACCCTGGCACGACCATCGTGCATGCCTAAACAAAATCGAGACTCATCACTAAAGGCAATACTGTTCCATTCCTGATCCCAGAGTGAGCGTTGTCTGCACCACTCAAGGCGATTACGTCGGTGTTCTCGAGTTAAAGGGAGGACCCAGTGTGGCCGGTATGAAAACAAGCCAAAACTTCTCATTCGTCGGTAAACACTTCGCATGCCAATAGGTCTTCCGTGTTCTGCAAACCATTCATTTGCAATGGACCTGGTAGTGGAGAAACGGTCCCTTAAGTCCAATAATCTTAGGCGGCGATCTTCACGGTCTGTTGTTCTACGGCGGCGTCCAGTGCCCCTTGCTCTTTGCGTACGGCCTTCTCGAAGCCATGCCTGACAACGCCTAACCACAGTGTCTACACTTCTTTGCACTCTAACTGCAATTGCCCGAAAAGAAAGTCCAGCTTCCCGAAGTCCCACTATACGGCCCCTATCAAACTCACTAAGTTGACGAAATCGTACAGGTCTCCGTACTCTAGGCATCGTAACCGATAGTAAAGGATATCAAGAACCAAAATCTGCCAACGTTGATTCTTTACTGCGGCTGAAATATTCATTTTTAGAGCGTTAGTGAATTAAAAAAAAGCAGTATAAAAACCGGAATGTCCAACTGATAAGGCTGAAAATTTTTTCACTTGTTATTTACAGTAAGATAAATACATTCACCAACTTTTATTAAAATAAAACCATTTAAACTGAGTGTTCGGATTTATATGTCACTTAGTATACTTGAACGTACATTGCCTTCTTCAATGATTTAGATAGTACAGGTATGATACTAATTGGTCTCAAATCAGCATATCATATAAGATTACTCTTATTTGAGAGAGGTAATATTATGATTCAGGAAATAATCCGTTCATTAGAAAATAATCTATAATGTGGAGGACGTGGTTCGAAATAAGAGGGAAATACAATGTAAGCATCCTAAGCGATTGTATTAAGCTAACTCAATTATTTTGGTTGGTCTAAAATATGGAACTGTTATTAGAATGATAATTTTTGTCATAGTATTCAATCGTCTCTGAACATGAACGGTTACCTTTGTTGAAAACTGAACAAAAGTAATCATAGTCAACTGGATTTCTCATAAGAGTAGAAATATCTTCATTTCTTGGTAAATGCACACGCATAGATTTTGAGGCTCTATAAAATGTTATAAGATCACTCTGTTGACGAAGATATGAGAAATAGGCTGCATTTTAAAACCTGATGCTTGCCAATGTTGAGTTTTTTAGTTGCTGATAATGGTTCCATGATTATTAAATTTGAAGTTAATGAGAGCTCCGTTTTTCTTTTTCGTTAAAAGTTTGAGATTGCGGATGAGTCAAGGTCATGTGGTTTATACATCCGTACAATGTGCATCCGTGCATGTCTATCAAAAGTAAAAAATAATTTCTTCACCTTGATTTTTTGTCATTGAGGTATTCTTACATTAAGAACGAAACGATAACATCCCCACGAAATTTTATTGACAAGTAATAAGATAAAAAAATGATAATATGTTGGGTGACCCTGCAGCTGAATACGCTCCTGTATACGTCTAGGCATCGATAAAATGAGATGATCGATGTCTGGCTGTGCCACATCATTCCAAGCAACTTGAACTTCGTGGATTTGATGTGACATATCTCACACGTCTTTGATGGGACTTAAATCCGGTGAACGGAGTGGCCACGGGAAAACATTAACGGCTGCTTCTTGAAGAAAGTTCGTAGTAAGACGAAGAATATTTTGACGTGTGGACGGCCCTCTAGATACGGCAGTAAAGTGGTCTGAAGAACATTATCATTATAAAGTGCAGCAGTCATATGGCCTTGGACAAACAGAAGGGGTGATCGGCTACCATAGGCAGTAGCCCTCCAAACCACTACGCCCAACGGTAGTTAAGAATATCATTTTGAAAGTTAGTAATTTCAAAATGTTGAGACTCTCTGGATATCACAAATTTTTGTTTGGACTTTTTGGTCTCCAAAGTTGCTTCATGAAAAACTAAATAGTGATCAGTGTTCAAAGCACCAAAATTTGAGCATATTTGAGAATCACCGATAAATATAGGATCTAATAGACTACTTGAAGATTTTGTTATTCTATAAGTAGTCGTTACATTTCATTTAAAAAGGATGGCGCATCGAAAACGAAACAGACGCATTTACTGGCAGCTCAGTTTTTTTTTTGGAAAAACGCTCAGACCAGGCGATTTTGTTTTCGAGGGGGACACAAGTTTGGCGAAAAATCACGTTAACACGTGCAGCCCCCTGGGCGGGGGTGACACCAACCCTAAAATCTTAAATGGAAAGGGGGGTCGAGTGATAGCTTATTTTAAAGGTCTTTCAATTCCCTTTATAATGATGTAAAATGCATGTGCTTCAGTTCAGTAGTTTTGAAGATTTATCGATTTAAAGCTTAATAGGTACATCAGATTAGTTTGTACTACTTTCAGAAGAAATTTGACAAAAAGAATTTACTTAATAAGTAAATGCTTTTCTTCACTACGACCATGGTTTGTTTATCATTTTGTTGTTGAAAATAGCTATTGGAGCGTTTTTTTTTTGTGGCAAAAAAGTTATTTCTTGACGAAAGATAAGGAAATGTCTCGTACTTATTTTAAATAGGAATTTGGTACATACTATAGTTTGCGATTGAACGAATTATAAACGATGAACGTTTTCTATTCAAGACTTGCTTTTCCGACGAATTTTCCTTTTTCTTAAATGGCGTAGTAAATCGCCATAACTGCCGATATTGTTCCGATTCTAATCCCAGAATTTATCATGAGGTTCATACACAGCAGCCACAAAAATTAAATGTTTGGGCTGGTATTTTTTGCGATCTTTTAGTGAGTCCTTTTTTCTTACCTGGAATTACTGGAAGACGCCATAGATCCTGCATTAACAGACATAATTGAATATCAGAATGATCGGCGGTACACTGCGAATAGGTTGATGTTCCAACAGGATGGTGCCCCACCACATTACGCATTACGTGTTCGACAATATTTAGATCAGGCGTTTCCAGATCGATGGATTGGTAGAAGAGGTGCCGCCATTGAATGGTCCCCAAGATCACCAGATTTATCACCTTTGGATTTCTTTATGTCGGGTCATTAAAAAAAAAAAAAAATTAAGAAAGCAACCTATGCTACTCAGCCAACATCATTAGAAGGCCTGCGACAAAGAATTGTGAATGAGTGCCTTCAAATTACTCCTCAAATATTGCAAAATGTGCGGCAACGTTTTGAGCAAAATTTTTATTACTGAATGGAGAGTCATCGTGGCCATTTGCAACATTTACTTGCCTAACGGGTCAGTTCATTCTCCACTAATGATGATGTTTTATTTAAACTTTAAATCAATAAATCTTCAAAACTACTGAACTGAAGCTCATGCATTTTACATTATTATTATTATTATTATTATTATTATTATTATTATGATAATTGAGATGAGCAGAGTACACAGTACTATAAGCTCATGCAGTAAATATAGTGTACGGACACGTAACACAAATACATCAAATAGAAAAAAATAAAAAAAGACAGTTCATAGCTATAAAGTTTGTACACTCCTCTAGCTATCATAATGCACTTTGAAGCTATTAACTGAAGTAGCACCAACCACACTTGCAGGTAAACTATTCCAGGTGTTGAATATGCGGTTTGGAAGAAACCAATGTCGGACTGTTGTTTTAAATGGCTCCTTATGCAGTTTGAAGCTGTGTCCGCGTAGATTGCTGCGCGACAGACGGTATAGATGCATGAGGTTGGTGCCCATCAAACCATGAAGTATCCTGAACGTAACTATAAGATCGCCACGAAGTCTTCGCTCAGAGAATGAGGTCAGGTTGAATAATTCAAGGCGATCTTCATAGTTTGGTCTTCGTGCTCCAAAAGGGATACGAGTAGCCTGACGCTGTACTGATTCGATGAGATTTCTATCGCACAGAAGCACAGTGTCCCATACCGGGCCAGCGAATTCAAGAATTGGCCTCACGAATGCCTTGTAAATGTAGGCGCAAGTGTTGACATCGGATCCTTTGAAAGACCTCTCCAGCATGTATAGAAGTTTCTTGGCTTTTGATGTAACGTAGTGAATATGCATTATAAAGGGAATTGAAAGACCTTTAAAATAAGGTATCACTCGACCCCCCTTTCCGTTTAAGATTTTAGGGTTGGTGTCACCCCCGCCCATGGGACTGCACGTGTTAACGTGATTTTTTTCCAAACTTGTGTCCCCCTCGGAAAGGAAATCGACGGGTCTGAGCGTTTTTCCAAAAAAAAAACTGTGCTGCCAGTAAATGCGTCTGTTTCGTTTTCGATGCGCCACCCTGTATATCATTAATATGTATTGCTACATTTTTATTGATCTTTATGGTTTTGTGTTACATTTTCTTCCACATATACACATTTGTATCAAGTGGATATGAATAAGGCATAAATAATAAAGACTCTGAATTCCTGCATGTAGAGGGCTACCGCCAGCAAAGCTGTGGATCGGATTGATCATACAGGAAAGGAGGCTGTTGATATCTGAGACAAACAATGTCGGAGCCAAGACCGATCCCTGGGAAACACCCGCGGTGACATCGTGGGTTAAAGAGAACCTTGTGGTCAGAGGAAGTCTGCAAAGCTTCTCTGGGATGCCGCAGGATGGAACCTTGTATAAGAGGACAGCATGCCACATGTGATCGCATGCTTTCCTGATATATCAAGAACAACGACATGAGCCTTACCATAAGGCTGGATGAGATTACTCCACAGTTGTGTGACGTAAGCTTGTAAAGAGCGGACAGCGTACCTTACGTATAATCGTTAAAATAAGGGCTACTATTCGTCGCGCCCTTCATAAATCCCTTCAGCAAATACCACTATCTACAGATACGCCTGACACAAACATGTTTTCGATCAATTCGGTAAATATTTTGACATCGCAGTTTCAGCGCTAAGTAACGCTGCGTAATGTCACTCGTACACCTACAATAATTCCAGTTTGATTGTATTGTGGACATACATTTGCTTTTTTTCCTTTTCTCGACATATATTAACGATGACGACTGTCAGCTGATCAAAATACACGCGGAATTGGAACAGAATGTTATACAGTAGCAGTGTTTGGAAGTTACTAGTTTGATAGTTCAGCAAGATATAGGTGCTAGTATATTATGTTTCAATATATGAGTATATTTCATAAAGACACTAAAGTGAAACAAAAAGAGCAACGCAAGTGGAATTAGTAAAGTTATGTAAAACAAATATAGGCTGTACGAGAGATGTCTTTTAAGTTTTGCATTTGGAAATGAAACAACACGGTAGGTAGTTTTAAATTTATTGTTTTTCGAAGTACTCTCCACGAAGATTAATACACATCTGCATGCGCTTGAACGACTCGTTTGCTGGCAGATCCAAAGCGGCATTTTTGAATGCGGCAACTGCTTCTTCTGGTAACTGGAACCTTTGACCACGCAGTCTGTTTTCAATTTTCGGGAAAGTCAATAAATCGTTAGGACTTAGATCGGGACAATTCCACGTTTTCTTTCGTTAAATACCGCCTTGTTTTTTGGGCTGTGTGCGAGCTTGCATTGTCTTAGTGGAGGATGATTCTTCTTTCGGAGTTAATTTTTCGAAGCTCGGTGATGACCTTTGGCAAACAAATGGTGATATACCAATCCGCAGTAACAGTTCTTTCCTCATTAAGAGGAATTGTTGCAATACAGTGTGAGTCTTCATAAAATGCATATATCAAAATCAGGGAAACTACACTCTATTTCATCGACGGATAAGTCATCAAAAAAAAATTAAAAACAATAATTGATTTTTTATGAATATTTTAAAATTTTTAGTGTCAGCTGCTAACCCTATTTAAATAAATCGTTACAACTTTTAAACTGAATGTCCTATCATATTGGAATTAATTTTGTAGTGATTGCAAATAATAGGCCGTTCCATTAAAGTGAAAATTTCCACGAAATTAAATGCTGTAAATTTAAAATAAAGAGGAATATGCTGACACTCACTATTTTTTCAATGATTTTTAAAACAATTGCTAAATTTCAATAAAAATTGTCCTATTTACCCCACCTTTTTTAAATGTTAAGTTATTCTACATGTTATTAGCTTCCTAATGGTGAAAAATTGCAAGTTTATTACTTAGATACAAGTTTTTAAATCAGCGTTTCAAAAAGCAGTGAACTCAGTTCAACGCCAGAGTAGGAATAAAACAACAGTATTAACCTACATGAATCATTCATTATCTTTAACAAATAAAATCAAATAGACTTGTCTATAGGATAATTTTGGCTTAATGCATCAAATGTTCAAAATGGCCACCCCGTTGCTGCAAACACAGTGAAATTTGATGAGTTGCCCTACGAATCATCTCGGGATCATTTTTGATTTCGTTTGCAACACGCAAAACTCTTTCTTCAAGTTCCGCTTCGCTGTTTATGGAACTGCTGTACACCCTTTGTCTCATTGTCCCCCATAAAAAATAGGCGAGAGGTGTGAGATCTGGGGAACGCGCCGGCCACCCAACTGGTCCTTGTCGACCGATCCAGCGGCCTGGATAATTTTCATTAAGAACAGACCTGACAATAAGCGAGTAATGGGCAGGACATCCATCTATTTGAAGCATCATTCTTCGACGGGTTTGTAGCGGCACTTCTTCCAGCAGCAAGGGCAGTTCAGTCCGCAAAAGCTCCAGAAATCTCTCCCCGTTAAATGTCCTCGGGAGTATTATTGGACCAATCAAAAAGTTGTCCATCAGCGCGGGAATTCAGGATTGTCTCTTGTTTTCATTAAAATCCATGTAGACATAACGCACCTTGGACGCCAATCCACATCTTCATGCAAGTGCTGCACCCTTTGATAATGGTATGGATGCAACCCTGCTTTCCTCAAGATGCGCCAAACCGATTTCTGGGATACGCCATGACGTAACGCCAAACGTCTCGTACTAGTAGTCGGGTCAGCAAACAAATCATCCAAAATGGCTTCTTCGATAGCAACATGAATAATAACACCTGGTTCGCGGCGTTCTCGAGGCAAACCAAGTCCAGTGTTAGCCAGTCTTCTATGTACTTCTTGGAAGATAAGGGCTGATGGAACAGGGCGTCGATTTGGAAATGCAGCTAGATAAGCTGTGCAAGCAGCTCTAGCACTCCCTCGGTACATTCCATAATAATAATGGATATCGGCAATGTGTGCCGGAGGGAAATCACTTATACGTGGCATCGCGACCAAAAAGCGAAAGCGTGATATGTAGCAAACGAAACTGATAAAGTTGTCAGGAGAAACACAAATAGCTGCCTAACTGTCCAACATTCAATTGTTTTTCAACTGGGCCCGCTTCCCCACTCGTACTTCAGCCCGCGCGACTATACAGTATATTCAGATAAGAGATAGACCGGACATAAACAAGACCACGTGATCATCGAACGCTGTAACATTCGGCAGGGACGTATTAAGAGTCACGCAGTACATATTTTAGATAGTAGATGCTGCTTTGCGTAACTTTGTAGTAAATTAGCACAATTCGATGTGTATACGATTGGTGATGGATATAGAATCATGTGGGGGTGGAGTAAGAAATATATAATGATGTAAATATACATAAGGGTTTTAAAATTTCCGCTTCGATTTCCAGCTTCGGATGCCGCCTGATGTTTGGTGAAATACAGTCGAATATAATCTCAAAATGGCGTTTAAATTAGCCTAAATTAAAAATAATCGTATATCTCTTAAAATTGCTTTTAGAATATTGATTAGTATATTTTTTGATTTCTAGGTAAATATGTAACCAAATTAAAACGTTCAAAACGTAAAAAAATGTGCATGGTTGAACATTGTCAGAAAGTAGATTCTTGAATAGGTTTTGCCAAAATGGGTTCAAAAATGTCAATAATTAATTAAAAAATACAGTAGCTTTATAATTACTTATAACTTACCGAATTTGATGAACGACATCTTTTATTGGAAAGATGAGCTTGATGAGCTTTCATCATCGCTACTGCCTGAAGCACCAACGTCAATAATGAATGGCTCGACTTGTTCCTCTAAAATATTGTCCAGTTCCCACATTCTCTTTTCAACTTTGTCTTTCACGTGCTTAATACAGTTTTCCCATTTTTGCGCTGTTATTAATTCTAGTGCTTCTTTGAAAAGTCCTTTGAGGTCACAAAATTTAAAAGTTGTATTGTGCTTAGCTATATAATTTTTAACCTCTGCCCATATGAGCTCAATGGGATTGAGCTCGCAATGGTATGGAGGTAAACGGAGCACAGTTTTATTTTGACTTGCTGCCATTTCGTCAATGGCGTATTTTTGATATTCCGCCTTGTGATCCTTGACAATTCTTAATAATTGTACTTTCAGCATTGCTTCTTCAAAGTTGATATTTTTCGAGCGGAGCCAATTTTGAACATCAACTTCCCTTGAAGCCGTTGTTGGGACCTTCTAGATTCTTCGAGAATGATAAGGCGCATTATCCAACACAATTACTGCGTTTTCCTCTAAGTTCTGTAAAATTTTTGAAAACCACTGTTCAAACGATTCGCCATTCATTTCCTCGTGGTAATCTCCAGTTTTCTTAGACTCAAAGCACCACAGACCGTAAACAACAAATCCATCCTCACTGCCAATATGGCAGATAATGAGCCTTTTCCCTTTACCTGGAAATCGAAGTACTGACTGGTGTAGATTTATTTCAATAAGCGAACCTTTTTCAAATGTTTTCATCACATTCAGCGAAAAAACATTGAGACATGAGTATCAGATTGCTATAATTCGGATTATTTAGTCATATTGAAAGAAAGAATATTGAACGTCGTATGATTACTCAGCGCTTCACAATTTAATTTAAAGTTATAAACCTTTAAAAAATGAATGATCAGGAACCTGAAATACGCGCAAATATTAATATTAACAAATTATAACTTTATAAAGCTTAAAGCATGAATTAAAATGATTAGAAATATTAGGAACGGTTCACAATATAAAACTTAGTAACTTTTTTTAAGTTTATAATATTCGACATATTTTAACATTATATTAAAAAATTATTGAAATATCGAAAACACATAAAAACATGGCTTAAAAATGTTCTAACAAATGAAAATGATAATAAAACATCCTCGCATTTTATCGAAAGTTATAAAAGTTTTGTTACTTGTAATATGTTTTATCTGCCCCCTGGAATTAATGTTTAGAACCTTGTTCCCAAGGTTTGAAAAACATCCGATTGTTGTCTGTTCCTGTTTTGATTTCTATATTTCCCAATTTTTGTTAAATAATCCCTCCTCCATAGCACAATTTCTTCTCTATCCAGTAGTAAACTATTACGACCCCGTTTTTTCCATTTGAAATTTAAATGCTTCAGTAACGCATGGAAAGTTGATCGTTTGAAATTTGGCAACGTTGTATCTCCATTTACCTCCTGCAGTACTTTATCTATAGTAGGTATTTCATTCCTAAAGAAGAATTCATGCACTTTCCTCCTAATCGCATGCTTATCAGCTTCATCCAATGATTTAACAATACTTTTGCGATGTTTACTGGTCATTGGCTCAGAAAAGGTGTGATTTTTTTGTATTGTCTTAACACATTAAACACTGATGCGTGACACACCCCAACTTTGTGAGAAACCTTCACAACAATTTCTTTGATGGTTGATGCCTCGTTCTCCTCGCGCTCGATCTTATATATATTCAAAATGACCTCTTTCATTTCTGCACTCAGGTGTCTTTTTTTAGAGCGTTTCCTAGGTGGACTACAGGAGTTTACAACTTCATCGGCAGTATCTGTACTACTGGGCATTTTGCGCAAGCAGTTGATAACAATAACAATCAATAACAAGGTATAACAATAACAACGACAAACTCAACAACTTAATAAGATAACAAACGAAAACGTCCAAAGAAATATCAAATTGCAATGATGCACACGACATACGTAACACGTCTGAACCTGAATGTGACTCTGCCTTGATACGACTGCTCTGCCGCTCGGCATAGGCATTTAATTGCGAATTGACCAATGAGGGCTCCTGTTTTACGTCGAGACGGCGGCGTTAGCGTGAAAATCACCCGAACCTTTTGTTTACATCCGGTCTATCTCTTATCTGAATATACTGTACATTGAATCACCAAAAAAAGGTATCTACATGATAAACAATGGTGCCTAGCAAGACGATGCGCATGGGCTTTTTTATAAACACTCATAGAAACTGTTACATTTGAGTAATAAACGTGCAATTTTCACTTTTATAAAGCTGATAACATGTAGAATAACTTACAAATAAAAAAGGTAGGGTACA